GACAAGACAACAACAATCGTGCTAAGCAAGCTTCCTTTGATCGTTAAATGCTGGAATGACCTGAAGGTCTCATCATCATTCGCTGAAGCTTGAGCAGTCTTCMCACATATGTAGACAGACTTGTAATCACTGAATACCGCTTCAGATCACGTACTCGTCAGTCTCTAATCTTCAGTTTCAGTCTTCGACGTTTGCTGAAGGATCATTGGTTTAAGTGTTGTCTTCTTGAAGTATTGCTGACTCTGTTAGATTTACAATGCAAGTTCTTCAGCGATCACTGAACATACTCAGTGAAGATCGCTAGAACTGAAAAGACAGAAACATAAATACAACGTATAAGTCAAAAGGGATTATCATCAAATCACTGAGAGAGAGGATCAACAATAATGTTCAGCGAATCGAGAGTATCCAATAAACTTCTCAGTATACTCTCGAACTATTCCATTTCCCTGCTCCAATTTTAGAAAATCATCTTCCATCTGTCGTACAACAGTTTTAGGGCAAAACTGTTCCTTGAATCGATCCACAAATTCTGTCCAAGATAATGTCTGTAAAACATCCATTTTAGCTAATGATTCAACTTCCCACCAAAATAGAGCATTTGACTTTAATAATGAGACAACAAATCTAACTTTATCAGATTCTGGACATCTGATGGTGTTGAACTAAGATTCAATCTCCTTGATCCAGCACATAGCTTTCACTGGATCTCTTTCCCAAGAAAAGGTTGGTGGCATGCATGCCAAGAACATCTTGATGTCTCCTTCTTTGTTATGAGTGACCGGAATAGAGAGATAAACTTCAACTCTTTCGGTTTCCACTCTAGCTGGAATTCCCATAATAGATGTTAAAGTTTCCCGCAACTTTCTCATTTCCTCTGCCAACATATCTCCGGTTACATACTCTAGGTGTGGTACTGATATTTCCTGAACATTCCCAGAATAGGATTCTTTAGGTTCGAAATGTACTTCGTCCGACCCCTTCCTTGTGACTGGCTGTAACACCCCCAAATCCATACATTGCATATAACACATATTTCATACATCGAATACATGTTTTAAACCCACATAGGTCCATAATACAAGAGTCTAAAATACGAAATACACAACTTAAAAATTCCAAATACAAGTTCTTGCAAATGTAATTCCTATGAGTTCCTATCTTCCAGCATGCAAGTAAAAATAGAATCATAGTATGCCTTTCCCCTTATCACTATAGCTAGTATTACCTGCACACACATAATTGAAACACACAAAATGAGGGTTAGACAACAGTGTAGTGAGATCCCCCTTTTTCATGCAGTGCAGGGTGATAAACACCAAAACCTTTATCACAAATTGTGGCATAAAAACAGATTCTGCTTTGGTCCATCGGTCCTCTGGTCAAAAATCAACACTTAGAAAATTTGACGCCAAGAGGTCCAGAGCCCCTCTGGTTCCTCTTCCAGAGCTTCTGGACAATACATGCACACTCAACCACAGCTTTTGGAATTGCGCGTAAGACCATCCAGAGCCTCTCCGGACTAGCGCTCAAGGCCATCCAGAGCCCCTCTGGACTATTATAAGGAAGTTCGCCAAGTATAAAAACATTTGAAAACTCTTTCAGATTTATGACCAGAGCTTCTGGTTCCTCAATCCAGAACCTCTGGTTCGAAACCAAAATATTTATAAAAGGCTTTAAGTTAAACAAGAGCCTCTAGTTCCTCAATCCAGAGCTTCCAATCTAAAATCAAGATCAATCAAAATATTTAAGTCTATTTTTCGTAAAAAGAGTCCAAGTATAAAAACTCTCAAAATGATTTTTATAAAGGAAGTTTAATACAGAGCTCTTATTTAGAAGATGCAGAGCCTCTGTATGCGGAAGCCTTATTTTAAAAGCAGAGCTCTATATCTAGCGGATACAGAGCCTTTGCACAAAAACCCAATTTTTAATACAGAGCTATTTATTTAACAAATACAGAGCTTCTGTGTGATAGACAATTTTTGATACAGAGCTCTGTATCTAACAGATACAGAGCTTCTGATTTTCACAACCGACTATGCAAAAACAGTTGCATTGTTTTCAAACACTAACCAGACCCTTCTGGTTCTTTAAAATAAATACCTACCAAAGCCCTCTGGTTCCTTGACAGGTATACCCAGAGCCTTTGTGGTACCTCTGGTTCAACAGTATGATCAAAACAGTTTTATCCAAAATCCATGACCAAGGGATATATTTTTCCCAATCCATAACATCAATACTATCATCTCTAATAAGAACAACATCTCGGAATCCTCAAATCACTAAGAAGTGAGAACTCCAATCTGTTGTATCCTAAGAGACATAATAGCAATAGTTATACAATGCACACACAACGACCATCCTTATTACATCAAAAATCCCCATCATAGCAATAGCTATCACAAACCACACACGACCAACCTTATTTCCCCTGAAAATCATATGACGTATTTCATCCAACTAACAGGCTGCAATATTCCTGTTAGAGTGAACCTGTTCATAGTTTCATCAAAATCTGGTTCCCCCCACAGGTTTATATTTCAAAACCTGATTGAACCATAAGAACACTCATGTTCTTTCCAAACAGCAATTCTGGTTCCCCCCACAGGTTTATATTTCAAAACCCGATTGAACCATAAG